GCCATGCTGGCCTTGAACTAGATGACCATGAACTCCTTCCTGATCTGCTGCCCCAGTCTCCCCAAGTGTGTGTCACTGGGGCTTTTGTTCCTCCTGTCTCCACCTCTAGGGTGTGTACAACAGGGAGTCTTTATTTTTTAAGTTAAACTGTTAGCTTGGCATTCAAAGTCATGATGGGTTTCATTACGGCTTTTTTTTTTTTTTCTCTCTCTCGAGACAGGGTTTCTCTGTGGCTTTGGAGCCTGTCCTGGAGGCTGTCCTCTTGTAGACCAGGCTGGTCTCGAACTCACAGAGATCCACCTGCCTCTGCCTCCCGAGTGCTGGGATTAAAGATGTGTGCCACAAGGCCTGGCCTTATACGGCTTCTTTATTTTTTATTCCCCCCCATCCATTGTTGATCTGGCAAAAAAGGCATACAAGAAGAGTTTCTGTAGTTTTGTTTAGAGAGGGAAGAACCCCGGAAAGTTGTATGTTAAATAAATCATGGTTGGACAGGTATGCAGACTGTAGAACAGTGGGGATGATGTGGGCCCTGTGTGCTTAGGCACTCATATAAATACAGAAGGATAATGGTAGTATTTTGCCTAAAAGTTTGTAAAATTAGAAGATTTCAGTTTTTCAATAAAGGTGTTGACGTTTAATTTTTGTGCAAACAAGTTTGTTATAATATCCTTAATTGCTAACCAGTTTCTAAACATGAAAAATAAGTATTGGTTGGGTTTTGAATACCAGTTACATAGGTTTATTTCTCATTCGGGTGTTCATTTAATTTATTGAAAACATTTCCCCGTTTCTTTGTTTTTATTTTTTCTTTTTTCCTCAAAGATTTTGCTTAATCTTTTTCACAAAAGAGGAGAAGAGAGAAACTCAGATTATTTTTGTTCTATTATTATTATTACTGTTACTATTATTTGTTTTTCGAGATAGTCTTGGCTGTCCTGGAACTCGCTCTGGAGACCAGGCTGGCCTCGAACTCAGAGATCCTCCTGCCTCTGCCTCCCGAGTGTTGGGATTAAAGCTGTGCTCCACCACCACCCAGCTTTATTTTGTTTTTTGAGACAGAGTCTTAGTATGTAGCCCTGGCCAGCTTTGAACTTGTGGCAATCCTCCTGCCTCAGCCTCCTTGGTGCT